ATCGTTTTCTACAGCACGGTTAGAGGTCTTACCAAATTTCAGGAGTCTTTCAGATGAGTACGATGGGTAACTTGGGGATTGGATTTCAATTCAAGAGCCTTTGACTCGTCCAGGTGTTAAACCTGACGAGAAGATGAGCATTTGCTCTTCGACTCCGCAACACGGGGGATATACAAATTCCAGCTTGCTAGAAGGTGATGTGAAAGTGAGAAAATGTCATGCAGTGCTATTCTTAAGAAACTGTATGAGCCGAAAATGGATGTGATTTTGACCCTTCGCTTCAAAATAACAGCGGAAATCGAGATAACAAAACATATGTTTTGTGTCCTACTTTGTAGACGAGGACGTGTATCGGCGTTTTGAAAAGCATAATTATGTTCTTTAATTCATTCATTGCCATGGAATATGCGTTTACATTGTTTTTTCACTGTTAATAGCTCGGTTAATGCCGCTGGCGATCATCTTGCCGGCGGAAGTTTCATGGAAAAGGAATAAAACCAAGACTTTTCCCAAAATTACGTTTCCAGCCTCTGTGGTGTAGTGGTTAGGCGCCGTCGCGTCGAGCCGAAGGTGCAGAGTTCGAGTCCTACCGGATTCTTAATTCCTTCTTTCTTTTTTTTTTTTCGTTTTTTGTGTTGTTGTTTTCTATAAATATATAGCTAAATAACTGTTACGTAATAAAGTGCAACAAACAGCAAGAAAAGTATTGTGTTTCCAGAGAAAATATCGTGCACCGTATATTAAATATATGGATAAACAATCTGAATTTCTATTATTTCCTACAATTTACTGTGGGAAAACCAGAGTTATAATCACTTGATCATTTTCTAAACAACGTTCCCACGAGTTCTTTCTATAGACTGATAGTAAATATTCTAGTACTTTCCAACATGTAAATAGGACATTCAACGTCATTTCGATTCTTTCAAGTCTCACTGCCTAACTAATGCCAGTATCATCAGAATGTGCCGCAGCATTACTATCTTTTAGATACCCTAGTTTTATATATAAATGTACTGGATTTAGCGTTTGCTTCTTCTGTAACGGTATATCGCTAAACATGTGCATGGATCAATGCTAAATAAACGTTGAGTTACCTTAACCTACCGTAAATTGTCGTCTTTTTGCCTCAGAAGTGATATTGCCTCAGAAGTGATAGTTAATCCAATATGTTAATTTGGGGTTGTCACGGCTTTCGCAGCTCCTATATTCGCTAATGCACATAAATGCCATCAAATATTGAGACGATTGAATACAAAAACTCTCTCCAATAAATAATACACTCTGGTCTCTTAGCGGAGTGAACTCAGAACTGATTTCATTTGGTATGCTCGTTTGCAATGTTGTCCAGGTTTGCGCGCTCTGGAATATTTCCGTTGGAACCAATTTCTCTTTTGTAATGTGCTCACCGGGACGGGAAGCCTCCTCGATCTATGGTCATTTGGAAGGCGTTTAGCAACTGCACAGGTATCTGTTAGGATCGGAAAAGGTAGGAAGATTTTTCGTTTGTACTACCCGTATATTGACGTATTTCGCGTTCGTTATAGTAACTGTTGTTTCTAAAAAAGGCAACATCCAAGTGTGCCGTTGCATTTCAATGCTAACGTCTGTGTAGTAAATTGTAGTATAGCGGGGTAAATCCCGAACGGCTATCATTCTTTGACTTTCATACTAGTATCTGTTTTGACGCTGAGACATTTCTTGCTCTTAAAGCTGTTTATCGTATACATTGTAACAGCTCTGTTAGTAAATTTATTCATATCTTCGAACACAGTGACTCAGATTACACTTTTTTGGTGATGTTTCCGGCTGTAGGACCTCAAATTTGACAGCGGGCGTTACCGGCCATGGTTACGTTTTAGAGGCTCTTTGGCCAATGTAGAAAAAAAGAATAAAAAATAGTTCACAATTTTCTTGCCAAAATATGAAAGAAAATTACAAATGTGAACAGTATTTTACATATTTTCCTAAAATTGCTGCAAGCAGGGTTTAAACTGGACTGTTGAATAAACAAATTAATAGACAACTATGTTGTTCTTTTTTTAACCATTTGTCGTGAAGAACAGGATATTTTTCTTTGGAATTTTTATTTTCTTCTGGTTATCATGAAGTTATTGCTTTCTACAAAATAATCGCCCTTACAACTCAACCGTAGCCTGCGCAAAAGAGGCGCGAGCGCGAAGCGCGAGATACGCAGTAGGACGCAGTTACGTCACGTTTGCCGTCTTCAACTCGATTTTTAAACGTACCGAAGAAGGTTTCACCTAAGCTTATCTTATTGCCAAAAACTACAGGAATTTTTCTGTAGCTGTATTAAAACTCAAGTACTGTTGTTGTTCGCAAATTTACTATGACGGTGCTTCAAGCAAACTGATAAAGGTATTGTGGCATGTATTTTACTTTGGTGCGTGTCTCTGTACCCAAAGCAAAAAAAGCTTGCCTTCCTTGGTGTGATCTTACTTACATTTGTTTCAACTGCGCTTCGATTCTATAACTTATAGACATCACACGACCATCGCATGCACGACATAAGGTTACATGCCTTTATAGGTGATTGTCTGACTGCAAAACGAAACATTCTTGACTTACATACGACTATTGGCTTTCGCTGCGAAACTTTGCACCAGTTCTGGAGTGAAACTTTTACGGTGATTGCCCGACTGACTACCTACGATTACTGGCTTTTGCTGCGAAACTTTGCACCAGTTCTGGTGTGAAACTTTTACGGTGATTGCCTTACTGACTACCTACGACTACTGGCTTTTGCTGCGAAACTTTGCACCAGTTCTGGTGTGAAACTTTTACGGTGATTGCCTGACTGACTACCTACGACTACTGGCTTTTGCTGCGAAACTTTTGTGGTGATTGTCTGACGACATACCATTCTGGCTTTTTGGCTAGAGAAAAAATGAGTGAGTAAGATCAGACTCAGGATGACAAGCTCTTCAAGTACTTGTGCGGAGAAAGTTACTACAAGAACACATTATCAGTCTGGCTTTAAAAAGTAAACTGTTGCCATAGCATATTTGAAAACATGGACAGTATTGTTTTTTTATACCGAAACAGAAAGGTCCTTGTTTGATGTCACGCGTTTACGTAAATGAAGAAAGAGGAAACCATCCTCCCCACGTTGAAACTCGAGTTAAAGACCGCAAACGTTACCTTACTTTTTGGGTTCGTGGTTTTCAGCCGTAGCGGTTAGAATTTTCCGACGGAAAGCCTGTTTACTCGAAACTTTCTATCAGTTCTGGTGTAAACTTTTTGCAGAGTAACAGTAGGCACGGCATACAATGCTGGCGGTAAGCATGTGTCTAGACCACACGTAGATCGAGCTTACTCGTTATGTTGATTATCGTTGGAAAATATGCATTGGTCTTAAGGCTTTTCGGTGATCACTTTTTTTACGTTTTATTGTGTTATGGAAAAAGTTCGGGATCTTCCTTTTTATCGTTTACCTGGCAAAACTGTAAGTACCGCTGAATGTCTTTAGTTGTTATGTTATTGTTATGTAATACTTAGGGATAATCTTTTCCCTATATCTCAAAAAAAAAAAAAACGACAACTAGATAAAAGGGTGAAACAGGTTGAACACGCTTTTCTTTTATATTATGTAAATCTGACGTAAAACAGATCTTGCCTACTGACTTACATGTTTTTCTTGGCAATGTGTTAAATGAAACTTTGCTGGCTGGCTCATAACTTACTTCTGCTACCGCTGGCTGGGATTGCGTAATTTTTGTTTTTTTAACCTTGCTGGCTGGCAAAAAACCGTCAAACATGATTGCTGGCTGGGATTTTTATTTTCTGAAAGTCTTGCTGGCTAGCAGTGAAGAGCGGGTATTTTTTCCCAGGAAAGTTAAATAATAACATAGGTTGACGTAAAAGCACTTTGCTAGCGTTTACGACATCGTATAATCAATTTTGCGAAAAATGTTCGTTGGGTACTCCTGACAGTCTCCCAGATTTTTGGAGCGGATGAGCTCAAGGAGATGACCCCACAGCCAATGCTGTCAATGTTTGAAAAACAACCCAAGGAAGCTGCGGTCCAAAAATCGAAGGGAAAGGAAGAGAATAGTAACAAAGGAGGTCCCTCCTACAGTGGAAGGTAAATAAATACATTTTATTAAAAATTCACTTTTTTAGTGTACATGTCCAATTCTTGGTTATACAAAGAGGAGTGAATCGAACAACAGAGAATACTATTCACTGCAGTGCTTTCTATTTCTAAGACCAGAATGGCTGCAATTTCATTTGTTCCTGGTTTGCAAACCAGGAATACAATAATATTATTCTTATTCATTCTGTTGGCTAATATGATTTGATTTTTCTGCTCTCAGCTCCTCTAGAACAACCCGAGGGAAGAACAGGGGCCCAGAAAACAGCAAGAAAGGAAAGACGATTCAGAACATGCAAAGAACCCCTCAAAGGTCACAAGAATGTGACCCATTGCCCTAAAAACCAAAAGTAGAGGAAGAAACCAAACCATTGCCATGGGAATAGTTTTTTACTAGAAACATTTCATTGAAAGTTGATCTTTTTAAAAAGTGTTAGGCTAGTCCATGTTCTTTACTTCAGAGTTCCATTCAATAGTGTAAATCACTGTAAATAAACAGTATTCTGTCAAACTGAAGTGACATATATCTTTGCATTGTATTTCATGAAAGAACCCTGTTTTGGTCTGATCAAATAATATTGATGTATTTTAATACATCAGTTGAAAAGAATTTTTCTTTATAAGAACAGCATCATTCCTATGTTTACGCTGTAGCTGACTTGATCAAAATTAGGGGTTTTCATGAACTTTTTGATTTTGATGCATTAGCTGAAAGATGAATGACAGTTATTTCTACGAATAAAATACACCATAATCATTTATTTGCTGTCTTGAAATGCAGTGTACATATTTATATCATCCTCTCTGCTTTTTAGTCATCAAGATCAAAACCTGTCAGTTCTTCATTGTCTTGAAGGGGGTAGGTTCTTCTAATGATAGTAAATGCTCAGGCTGGCAGTGGAATTCGTTTCTTCCCAAGAAACCCATACACTAGCCGTGAAAACTGTCGATACGCAACCGCTCGCATTAATCTGAAAATAGAAGAGTGACAGGTTCAACAAGAATGCATAATGGCAAGCGTTGGATTTCTACTCTGTGTGAATACATAAGCCTACTAATAAATGAGCATAAACTAGTCGCAAAACATTTTGTCAGTCTTCGATATTGAAAGGGCCTTTAGACGAAATTCGCCTGAGCGGTGTAGAAGTTTTAGAAACCGGCTGAGGTGTATTAAAAAGCCCGTGAGAGGCAAGCTTATTGACCGGACATCGATTCAGCCGCATTTATGAACATACGTAAATGAGTATTACCTTTCTTCTGATCCTGTCTGTTTGTAAGTTTTTTTCTCTTTACTGTTAAATCTAGAAACGGCCATCCTGAGGCTCCATTTATCTAAAACGACAGTTTTAAAGCCTGGGTGGTCGGTTATACACGAGATCTTTTGGCCTTCCGGGAGAGCTTCTAGTACGAGGTCGCTTGCCATTGCCTCGACACAGCCATCCAATTCCTGGCAGCAATAACACTCGCTGATATTTTTTAGGAGTTGTTGGCTGCAGTTTCCGCACTGACACCTAAGCATAAAAATACAGCCTAGATTAAACTTATGTCATTTTGGATTTTAGAGAAAGAGAACTGTTTTTTCCTGACAATGTTTTTAGGCTTCGAACGACAAATAAGCTTAGTTCAAAGTGTGAAGTTCGATAAAATGTACTGTCACGCGCCCTACCATTCACCGGTCCTGGTTTTGTCTGCTAGCCGCTTCTTAAGAAGTTCTTCTTGCTTCTTTTTTTCCTCTTGTTGTTGTCTATAATTTTTTATCCATTCTTCGTCAGCAAGAGGCTCGTCCATATAGGCTTGCAATTCGCTGTCTGTTTCTTTGTCGGCAGTCGAACTTTCCGATAGAAGTTCTTGGTTTACTCGTTCCTCCGTCTCTATTTCTTCAAAGTCAAGGCATTCTGAATCGTCTGAAAGATACTCTTCGCCACTTGTGTCGGAAATCTCTTCGGAAGAGGACATATTTCATACCAATAATCTTCGATCGCACTATACTTTAATACAAGTATCCATACTTTCAATGCTTCGTGCTTTGGAATGGTGTCCTTTTCTTACGTCACAGCTAAGAAAGTGTCAAATATCGGACGCTTCTCATTGGCTATTTTGAGCGATTTGAAGGATTTTGAGTTGGCTATCTTGAGGGACTGGTCAAAAAGGTAACCGGTCGTTTCGCCAACGGTCGTTTCACTAACGTCTCTGGTCAGTTCGCAAACGTGTAGAAGTCAGTTCGCAAACGTTTAGAGGTCAATTCGCAAACGTTATAAACATTGATATGTCAACCTGCATTATAACTGTACAGTTCAGAATACCAGTGGCACGAAGCTCTCGGAATGCCATTTCTGATTGGTTCATCACTTTACTTCCGTTGCAAAGGTTGCAACCATTTCATTGGTCAGTTTTTGCTAGGAGCGCGTGACCTGCGTAGAGTTCTCAGTTGAAGAATTTAGTCATCTACTAAGACGCTGCAACTTTTGAAAAGAATGAATGCATGACTGAATATTCTTTCTTTAAACGGGTTCAGTTATTGGAGTTAAATTGCTTGAAGGGGGCTTTGTACTAGAGTATAATTCGTTCTAATCTAATTACGGTTTGAATTTAAAGATGAAACTGACTAAAAAATGTACATAAACTGCTGAAAAGAAGTTTTATAGTAACTAAAGCACTAAAGCTCCATAATGTGTTAGACTACGAGTAGTCTCCCATTTGTCCTTAGGGATAGTAGAGCGAGCGAAACGCGAGCGTGCGTGAAAATTACCCCACGCGAGAAAAGGCACGTGGGGTAATTTTCACGCGTGCTTGCGTTTCGCTCGCTCTACTATCCCTGAGGACAAATGGGGGACTACTCGTAGTCTATAATGTGTAAAATGTTTCATGAAACATGTAAAAAGTCGTGGAAAGCTCTAACAACTTTAACAAGAGCGTAGCCAGCCGTTTTTTCCCTTTTAAGCCCGAGTTGTAAAAGTTTTTTTTTTTTTTTTTTTTTGGGGGGGGGGGGGGGGGTATAAAGATATAAGGTCTCAAAGGTCAAATGTAAATGTGATGAATCTACTACAAAACAGTCAAATATATCCTTTTTTAGAAAAACCATCTGAGACAGAGTTTGCTGGAGCTCCTGCACAAAAGATCACAAAACTTTACTATAATCGACCATTAGAAACATAAAATCAAGCAAACTTAGATTTCGAACCCCATGACTACCGTATTTATTATGTAAACATTGATTTACGTCATCAGTGTGGAATTTCTCTCGCTGAGTCGCAGACGTTCCTCCGGGCGAAACGTCCCTGGCAGCGAGGAGCTAGGAGAAACAGCTGTATTCTCAGTCTGCGATAACTCGAACCTTAGGGGAATAAAAACCGTTCGATGGGGAAGTCAGGGCAAGTCTCATGCACATTATACTTCAGGGGTAATATGACATTTTTGGACCTGAACGTGCACAACGTTCAATAACATTTCTATCATTTTGAACTTGCTGACCAAATTGTGAACAAAAACCAAAGGATTGTGCACGGTCAGGGAGCTTCCAACAAAAACTACAGCACCGTTGTTTTCAACTTTTATGTTTGCCGGCTTTCCTAACAAGTCTCCTCTAATAACTATGAACTCAACCATAAACTGTACACCAATCAACCACCCATCTGCACCAAATGTTGGCAACTTATATAACTTGAAGGTAGGTACCTTTGGGCTTGCTGACCATGAGAATTAAAAACGCTTTTCCGAATTTCTTGTTGATAACAAAAGTGGAAAAACAAACCTATAAGGTTAATAATGTCAAGTACAAGCTTAACCCACGAGGCTCTATCTTAAACCAAAACGGGAACTCTGATCACAGTCTGATGTAGGTAACAATCAAGGTCAGCGATCATCCCAAAACGTGCCCACTGCAAGGACTGACGCTCAAAATCAATAAATGAACTTTATGTCGAAAAACTACTTAAAAAGGTAATAGAATTTGAAAACCTGTCGATACTACAAATACCGATTAACCTTGACTCGGCTACAAACTGATCATAACAAAACACTAAGCACGAGTCAAACGTCAAGTGCAAACATGAAAAAAACTAAAAATAAGTAACCAACAAAATGCTTCAAAGCAGAATAGCGTAGCCGACACAAAATTATATAGAAATTATCTGAAAGGAAACAAATAATATTCGAGTTAGGCAGAAAAGTGAGTTATCGAGGGTTCGAGTTACCGATCGAGGGTAAAATTACAGTCAATGAAATGCGGTGGTCAAACATGGCGGTCACGAATTTTCTTGCTTCGTGTTTTCTCGCCCTCCTTGCGTTAGTTTTCAGAGCTAACTTGTTCTGTCCTCCTGAAATCAACTTCACATGCCATGGTGATTACTCGAATGTTCTTCCCAGCGCAAGGACAACATTTTTTTGGCCGAAGTTACTGGCTTGCTGGCTGAGACCATCTACGAAGCGGAACGTCATCTTGGATGGTGACTAAGGATCTAGTGCATTCTTCCTCAACTTCTTGCCTCTTTGCGGTGACATTTCGCTCAACCCAACCTGTTAAGGTTAACCAAAGGGCTGTTCAATCATAGGCGTACGGGCAATTTTCGGCCAGGGAGGCCGGTAAACCATTTGCCCAAAAAATTCTTGCAAGTTGCCCAAATTTTTACAAAACAGTCGAGAAGACACAAGGGCCATACGATGCAACAACATAGGCCGTACTGGCATACGAAAGTGCCGCAATACAGTTTTTCAGGGTCAATATATACCTGCCAAGTTTGAGCATAAACTATACGTTGCCATAAACAAACATTTGGAAAAATTGCCACCACCGTTGTGTTGGATAAAGATGAAAATTTGTCATGATCAGGGTTGCAATGACATCGGAGTTGTTACCTATTATACTTGCGGCATTATTTCTCAATATGAAATCGTTCTCGGGAGCTTTTTCCTCCAATAGTCGCCTCGGTGTTTGTGAAGTTAAAACAGAGTCTGTAAGAGCGTTATCGGGATAGTTTGGGATAAATCGTTAGAAATACAGTAAAACAAGGAAAATCTTGTTGTTTAGCCGCTATCTGTAGAAAACGAAGCGCTTTTGACATGCAATTTCACCTCATAGTAGGTTCAATCTTTTTAAAAATGTGTGTGAGTTATTTGTACATTGTATAGGTAATAGCATGATTTGTAGTGATATTTAGCATAAATATCACGAGTGATATTTCAAAATTGCTACAAAGGATTTCATTAGTATGTATCATGGCGCTCTTGTTAGCGGTTTTGTAAACATTTCGGTCTACTTTAACAAATTAGTGAATAATTTGAACCACTTGATAGATTTTTTAAAAAACATTAAGATTCTTCTCGTAATTCAAAGTGAGAATTAGTCAGCCACTTCTTCACTTTCAGATTAATCGCTGATCCTATCTGCCATACACTGTTCTACGAGCGAAGATGATCCTAGAAAGTTAGGCGGAAGTTTATCCTAATCAATTCCCGATTGGAAATAGCCCATTGCAGCCCAGTGCCCAACGATAAAAAAAAAAAAAACCTTCCCTTATAAACAGAAACTCATCACGTGCTTGGCAACCATTGTCTCGAGTGAATGTAACTTGATTGTTACGCCGACTTCAGGTTAAAATAGAAAATATTTATCTCTCCAAAATACTCATAAAAAACATGAAACGTCTTTAAAAGTTGGCTTTGCCCAAATTTTCTCTTGCTGCCCAAAAAATCTGAGTTGCCCAAAATTTGGGGGGGCTGCAGCCCCCCTCGCCCCCCCTGCCCGTACGCCTATGTGTTCAATGTGATTATTGTGATCGCTGGCACCAAGCACGTTGCTGCGAAATAAACAATGCTGTTTATGACACCCTCACCAATAGCTCCTGTGTATGGATCTGCTGCGTCTGCGGCCCTCCGAGCTTCTCTATTTCCTTTTTTGACTCCTGCAGCGAGGTACAGACCAGAAATTTTTCCTCGCGTCTTGACAACAATGGTTCTCATAATTCCTCCATTACTGACTGCACGGATGCCCAAGCTTCGCCTAGCCTCGGATGTCCCGTGCAGGTGTCCAGCCCTTCTCGTAAGATTTCAAATAAGGGAACAGGAAACATAGCGAGGAAGACAAGTAGGATTCAAGACACCCTTACACAAGAACTTCGCGAACCAAGCTCCTCCAACGATAGTGATAACGACCAGTCAAGCCCTAGCACATCCCTCCCTCAGACTTGCAATTCGAACCAACTGAGAGTAATACTGAGAGTATGCATAGTCAACTTCTGCAGCCTTGTGAGTTATAACAAGCACCTTGAACTATATCAGCTTATTGACACCCACAAGCCAGATATCATTATTGGTACTGAAACACACCTTAACAAGGATATTGACAGCAGAGAGATATTTCCTCCTAACTATGTTTATTCACCACCAGTCCGAAAAGATCAGGACTCGGGCGAAAAAAGGGGAGGTGTAGTAATTGCAGTTAACAGCAACATAATCTCCGTCGAGCAGTCCTCGTGCAATATCTCTCATAAATCAGGCAGTGTTGTTGTGGGATCCTTTTACCGACCCCCTTCTACATCTGTTGATTATCTGGAGCAGCTTGAACTCTCTATGAATAACATCAAAAACTCAGTGGTATTGATGGAAAGTACGTCTTGTTAGGTGGTGACTTTAACCTTCCTGACATTGACTGGGAAGAGGGCTCTGTCAAGTCAAACCCACAGTATACGGCCGCTATCAATTGGAAAATGATCGACATTGCAAATGATTTCAACCTTACTCAAATTGTAACGGAACTCGACAAGGAAACATTCTTGACCTGCTTTTCACATCCCACCCAGATCTTGTTGATAAAGTCTACATAGTCCCGGGCATGAGTGACCATGATGCTGTTATCTGTGGTATCAATCTCAGAGCAAATCCACCAGCTAACCCTAAATGGAATGTTTATCTCTACAAGCGGGCTGACATGGAAGGCCTTCGGCGGAAACTAAAGGAGA